CCCATCCCCTACCCCAGGGGCTGCTAGGCAGCTGACCTGTCCTTTGAGGAGGGCAGACGGAGGAGAGGGGTGACGAAGGGAGGGCCACGGAGGGTGAGGAGGTAAGCGGAGGAACGGAGGTGGCGGCGGTGGGAGAAGTAGCAATTGCTCCTCGTAAATTGGCTGCCAGGCAGGCAGGCAGCTGGGGGATTTGTGTCAGTGACAGGAACAGGGTTTTGAAGTGCAGTCACTCGTAGGAGGAGAAATTAGCTAAAAATCAGCTGATACTGCTCCCAATCCTGTACAAATCACTGCGGGAGGCAGGAGGCAGGGGCGGTGGGCTGGAGAGACAGAACGTGGGTGAGGCTCACGCGGACGGAGGGCTCAGTGGGGCGTCTCCCTGGGGCCAGCTGAGGGGCCGGGTGGGGGGCTGAGATGGAGCAGAAAGCGAGTGACCCCCACGGTCAGCCGGGAGAGTAGGTGGGCTCAACGTCTGTGGGGAGGTACAGAGAACACATGGAAGGATCTTCAACCTCGTGTCTGCCCAGGTAAACCGGGTCACCTGGAAGCTGCCTGGATTTGACTTGTTAAGTGGCGAGCACTGTGAAGCACTCCGTGTCTCTGACGTCCCCTCTTGCCAATGCCCTTGGTGGGGGTGCTGGTGGTTGGTTGCTGTCGAGTCACCTCCGACTCACGGTGGCCTTGTGTGCAACAGAAGGAAACGTCGCTATCTGTGCCATTTCTGTGATCGTTGTTGTGTTTGAGCCCATTGTTGCAGCCATTGTGTCAATCCATCTCACTGAGAGTTTTCCTTGTTTTTGCTTTAGACTCATCATTGGGAAACTATGGGGAAAAGCATCTCTCTCTGATGATTCAATCCCCTTTTCCTATAGAAACAGCAGCCCCAGATCACGGGCTGGGACCCAGGCTGCCGGCACAAGACTAAGACCCTGGCCTAGGTATGCACTGAGCTTGATGGGGCAGTAAGCAGCATGGGGCTCCCCCTAGGCAGACTGGAACTTGGGGTGAGGGAAGGAGGTCAACTCTGGGGCAAATGAAGAGGGGCCTGCAGAGCTCAGGAGGCCAAGGGGTGGGGATGGCAGGGGTTGGGGAATGTTCTGGGCTCTCGGGGCTCTGGCAGACAGAGGCTGGGATCTGAGGATGGACACGGGAAGATCCCGCGCTGGTCTGCACCCTCATCTTGCTGTCGGTGGGTGCACAAGTCTGCGCACCCACAGGTGAAAAATGAGACTTGCTTTGGGGCAGGAGCTGTACAGATTTTGCAGGGATGTGAACATCTGGCTACCCCAGCTTGTGGGTGCTCTGCTGCTGTGGGAGGCTGTTGCCTCTGCCGTCTGATTCTCTCCTGACCCTGCTGCCTGGCAGGGGACGGGGGCGCCACACCCACCTCTGCTGTCCCAGAGATGAGGCAGGGGAGAGCCAGCATCTCCATCACAACGGCTCAGAAACCTGGTGGACCCAGTCTTGCTGGGCCGATACTGCTTTGCCAAAGATGCTCAAGGAGCGGCCCTTTGCCCTTTAATTCCCTAAACTCTGCTCTCTGCCAAGCTGACCTGAGCCCTCCTGGGGAGAGCTATGCCCCTCTCATCCAGGGAGCTGGGAGGGGTGTCTCTGAGGATGGGCAGAGGGGTGCTTTTGGCCTAGGCCTGGGCTGTGTCCCCATCAGTGAGGACAGAACTGGCTCCCAGGAAGAAACATTTTGTGCCAGTTATGAGACTCTGGGTGGCTCAAACGGTTAAGTGTTCGACTGCTAACTGATAGGCTGGCGCCCAGAGGCACCAAGGATGAAAGGCCTGGCAATCTGCTTCTGAAAGGTCACAGCCTTGAGAACCCTATGGAGCAGTTCTACTCTGCACACATGGGGCCACCATGAGTCAGAACTGACTTGGCAGCAACTGTTTTTGTTTTTTTTTTGGCCCAGCTGAGTCGGTGCAGCTAGTATATTTCCTGAAACATGAGCTTCCTGCCTCCTGGGGTGCTCTCTCTGTTACCACCTGAGCCCCTGTAATCACACATGCACACACTTGTGTGATATCCCTCACCCATCAGGTCCCCAGTGGCCCTGCTCACAGCCAAGCTAAGTGGCCCCTGTCCAGATCCAAGGTCCCGACTTGGCATGGGACTTGGTGTCCGGAAGTCAGCTCCCTCCTGCCCCTGCCCGCCCATCGCCCAGCTGCTTCTCCTCCTCTCTCCAGACCTCCTCCTCCTTGGGTGGCTCCTCCCTGCCGCCCCGGCCCCACCTACCATTCCATCTTCCCAACGATTCCCTGGAGCACAGTTCCAGGATTTAATGACCTGCTGGCTGGTAGTCTGGGCCTGGGTTTACTTACTCTCCACAGCGAGAGTGACAGGCTGGCTGGTCTTGTTATCCCCGTTCTTGTCATTAACAGCCTGGACGTAATAGCGACCTGCGTCGGGAGCCACCGTGGACAGGATGACAAGGGTGTTCTCCAGTGTGATGGCTCTGGGAAGAGAGAAAAAGGGTTCCTCTGACAGGGCCCAAGGGGCTCTGAAGAACGAAGGGCAGGGAATGAAGCAGGGGGCCTGGACCAACTTCCCCCTCCCTGCTGGAGAGACAGGGGGCTGCATCCCAGACCCTTCCCCCAGCCCAACCTCCCCCTCCCTGCTGGAGAGACAGGGGGCTGCATCCCAGACCCCTCCCCCAGCCCACCTCTGCAAGCCATTTCCTGCTTACACCTGTGGCTCATAACTCCGGCCACATTCAGCTTGCAGAGAAGGCCGACATGTTGCCAGCATTGGGGATCAGGCCCAAACACACCAATTCATGTCCCCAGGTCTGAGACTGGGAGTGTCCACGTGAAGCTTCCCTGGCCCTCACCTCCCAAGACTGGGCTCGGGGTCTTTCCTACAAGCACCACGGAATCCCGCCCTTTCCCGTGTTACAATGTCCATCAATCTGTACGCTGTTATCTCTGCATCATGTGTGCAGACGCCGAAGAAATGTCTGTGGAACGAATGAATGAATGACTGGGTGATGATACTGAATTTGGAAATGAGCAGGGCCATTCCAGAATCAGTGCCTTAACCCTAATGCTAAATTTCTTTATGAGGCAGTCATGGTTGAGTGGTAGAATTCTCGCCTTCCATGCAGGAGACCTGGGTTCAATTCCTGGCCAATGCACTTCATGCATGCCACCACCTGTCTGGCAGGGGAGGCTTGCGTGTTGCTAGGATACTGAACAGGTTTCGGTGGTGCTTCCAGACTGAGACAGACTAGGAAGAAAGGCCTGGTGATCTCCTTCTGAAAATCAGCCACTGAAAACCCTGTGGATCACAACGGTCCGATCCGCAGCAGAACATGGATCACAGGAACGGCACAGGACCGGGCAGTGTTTCATTCTGTAGCGTGTGGGGTTGCCATGGGTCAGCGGCTGACTTCATGGCAGTTAACAGCAACGATAAGCTTTGTTTAGGTTGATTCAAAGGCCGCAGGTCACCTATAACATAGAGTTCTTGGGCTCACGTCTCCCTCCAGCCCCTTCTTTGGGTATCAGTTTCCACCTCTCTGGAGCCAGCCAATGACAGTGGGACCAGCCGGGCTGATCAGGAGGGAAAAGGGAGGCTGGCCGTTTGCCACAAATCCCGTTCCCTTTGCTGGAATCCCATCACACAGACCCTCAGCAGTCCAGGTCCCCAGGGAGCCTGCAGAGCTTGTCCAAGGCCGAAGCGGGTTCCCCACTAACTGTGGGTAGCACAGTCCAGAAGCGCTGCCCATGCCCGCTC